GTACAGATGCTGCTTTCACTGCTGTCAGAAACAACATGTAAATCAGAATGGTTTGAGGTAGTTTGAATATACACTAAGCAAAATTATAAAACGCAACACTTTTGTTTTTGCCCCCATTCATCATGAGCTGAACTCAAAGATCTAAGACTTTCTCTGTACACAAAAGGCCTATTTCTCTCAAATATTGTCCATAAATCTGTAAAATCTGTGTTAGTGAGCACTTCTCCTTTGCCCAGATAATCCATCCACCTCACAGGTGTGGCATATCAAGATGCTGATCAGACAGCATGGGGACTGCACAGGTGTGCCTTGGGCTGGCCAATAAAAGGCCTTAGGCGGCCACAATAAAAGGCCTTAGGCTGGCCACAATAAAAGGCCACCCCAAAATGTGCAGTTTCACTGTATTGGGGTCCGGAAACCAGTCAGTATCTGGTGTGACCACCATTTGCCTCACGCAGTGCAGACATCTCATTTGCATAGAGGTGATCAGGTTGTTGATTGTGGCCGGGATTGTTGGTCCATCCTCAACTGGCTGTGCGAAGTTCCAGTCAGGTCCACACCCCAACGAGGACGACGAGCATGCAGATGAGCTTCCCTGAGACGGTTCCTGGCGGTTTGTGTAGAAATTCTTTGGTTATGCAAACCGATTGTTGCAGCAGCTGTCCGGGTGGCTTCGTCTCAGACCATCTTGGAGCTGAAGATGCTGGATGGGAGGTCCTGGCTGATGTGGTTACACGTGGTCTGCGGTTGTGAGGCCGGGTTGGATGTACTGCCAAATTCTCTGAAACGCCTTTGGAGACGGCTTATGAACATTCAGTTCACGGGCAACAGCTCTGGTGGACAGTCAGCATGCCGATTGCACGCTCCCTCAAAACTTGTGACATCTGTGGCATCGTGCTGTGTGATGGAACTGCACGTTTTGGAGTTTGTGGGGGGAAAAACAAAAGTGTGTATGATTTTGTTCAGTGTATGATTTGCGTCTCTTTGATGGAGCTTGGCAGGTTGACTCTTTATCTCAGGGGACTAAATGTTTGTGTTTCAGGTAAAAGTCCAGAGCACGAAGCGCCACCCAGAGACTCCGCTTAACGTCGCAGGATTTCACTTCCCCTCCAAGGTAAAACTCTCTTGATAGTTTGACTTATCCAGCTCTGTCGTTTCTGAATAAGGACGATCATCTGCAGTCGCTATAAGTTGATTTAACCTGTCATTGAAGAGTAAAATCCAGTCTGTACCTTGATGCTCCTTCAGAAGCCGTGGACAGTTTGAACGTCCGACAGACTCCAACAAAGACGGAGACGTCGTCAGACCCTGCAGCCAGTGACGAGTTTAACAGCTTCCACTTCTGGAGAGAGCCGCTGCCGTCCATCGACAGCGACTTGCTGGAGTTACTGGTGAGTCGACCAACTGGAAGCGCTCCGTGGTTTTGTTAGGGTTGAATATATTGTAAAATGCGCTACTTTGGCTCTGATGTAGCTAGTTCTCTGTCTGTAGTCTCACTCAATGTCCCGCCCACGGCACTATCTGATTGGTTACACTCACAAGTAATAGCCTATCAACACTTGCGAGACATTTGCTCCGGTGAGTAGTGGAGCGTGTGTCGAAGGGAAGCCGGACTTTACTGCTGAAGCGGGAGTAAACATCACAATCTGATGATCTGTTTCTATAATGACGGCAGCCCACATGTCCCAACACACAGCTATGGGTTTACGCCTTTTAAATCAGCCGCTCTCCCCGAATCTGAGGATTTAAAAAAAACAGAATGTACAGAATGTAGCCTGTAGAAATGTTGAGGGAGGAAAAAAGTGCAGCAAAGTGCCGCAATATTACAGACTTTCTTTTTGTGCTGCTGTTACTTCTAGCTGAAGGCAGCAGTGATGATGTCTGCAGCAGGGGTGGGTACATCTAATGTAGGACTACTCTGAATGTCACTACATTTTTCCATTCATACCTTTTATAACTAACCAGTCGTAATCTGCATTTTGCTTCATTAACCGAAATGAGCTGTGATCCAGGCCGTGTGCGCGCGTTACACAGTGACAGAGCTGGGCAGATGCAATCTTTAACAACGGCAAGTGAAACACTTTCACTTTCCAAAAGCATCGTTAGTCTCTGCAGAACAAATGAAGACTACACACTGTAAGATCTATGTCAGATGCTCACTGCATTGATTGAGCTATATTTAAAAGTGTCCTGGTTGACTTTGGACATCAGCCTGTTTCTTTTCTTAATACACATCGGTTACTATTTGTTTTATAGCGATCATCTGACGGTGTCCATAAACAGACTGTCGCATGAAACTAATCTTTCACTCAGCAGCTACCAGCTGTTATTTAGTTTAGAGAGAGAGAGAGAGAAAATATGGTGGATATAACAGTCCTGTTAGGTTTTACACAGCTTCCTCTATATGTAGGTTTACCTGCTTCAACAACGAGCTGCTCCGTGTTACTGCTACAATCATTCTTTGCGTTGTGAAGATTATTTAGATGCTTCAGGAATAATCAGTTTTATTGGCAGCCTGTGCTGCTGCATAATAAAGATAACAAATGTTGGCTTGGCAGCAAAAGTGATTTTAATGGGGTCTTATAAACACCTTCATGGAGATTAAAAAGGAAAATATTGCATAAATAGCTAAATTACAGATAATCAGCTTCTTCACTGCATTTGCAGGAATATTTTAATGTGCTACTTAAAAAAATAAACTCATCAAGTTGCCTAGTCTAGACATTTTAACTGTGATAGCCTATCTTAACCTTTCCTCATGTGGACACATAGGGGCTGTGATCCTGCACAACAAAACATGCAAGAATTAAATCCCCACACTACCATGGATAGTAGTGGTGCAACGGGTTGCAGAATCCGTGCTATGGATCCCGTCCACACGGTGCGGATTGATTCCAAAGTTTATGATGATTTATCATGTTTGACCTCTCAAAATATCCTTTATTCTGGAAATGTCAGAGAACCCAGTTAGATTCTGAACGTGCAGAACTTTCAACATGAGCAGAAAATCTGCTGAAACACTGAATTAATGATTTAATTTATTATTGATGAGGTAAAAAGGTGCCACATGCACATTTAAAGAGGTACCTCAGTCAGTCACGTCTGCGTGTGTTGATTCAGCAGTGATGATATAAAAGTTGATCTACAGGAGAAACATATCTGAAAGCTGAGAGCTGCTCTGCATTATATTCTGTTACAGTTTTAGATTTTAAATTGATTTATTATACTTTTATTAAACCAGAAAAACTCTTTTTCCAAGAGTGTCCTGGCCGAGGCAGGCAGTAGTACAATTGCACATTTAAGATGGAAATAAATAATCAGTTGCAAGGTCATAAAATATCAAAATGTTCTTAAATATTCACCACAAGGACGATCAAACGAGTAATCATAACATCTGAAGGCAGAATTGCCAGCCTTCAAGTCCTTTAAAAGCAACCAGTGAAAACAGCTTGAGTCAATTATTATGTGAAGATATGAAGTTTTAAGGGCTGGGCTAAGCGCCCAATGTTTCAAGATCCTAAAAACGCCCCTGACACAGAGTCAGGCTTTTCACTGCATCGCAACAAAACATGGTGGTTAAGCTTTTCTGAAATTAAAACCAGGGACATTTTTGGTTTGTTGGCCAGTATGTTATTAAAAATATAATGTTATTATACATGAAATAAAAAGGGGGACAATTACCGTTTTATAATCTGTCAAAAATAACTTTGAGGCAGAAACTACCATTCAGTCAATAAGTAGAGGCTTCACTTTCTGGCAAGTAGAATACTGCATGTTTGTGTGTGTTTGGCCATTTGAAGGTATTTTAAGAGGTAAAAAGTACTAGGTGAGTTATAATCTGTCAAATATAACTAACCCTCATGAATATAATCAAGTCATTTCACTTTCTGGCAAGTAGAATAATGCATTACATAGACTGTATTGGCCATTTAAATTTACTTCAACAGGTAAAAAGATCAAAAGGTCATAAGGATAACTGCAAATTTATTTAAATATAACGCAACAGTAACTCATGTTAATTATAGGCTACAGTCTGTTTTCTAAATATAAACAAGGCTGCACATCCATGATGCGAATCTCCTGTTGCACCAAAGGCACTCTATTGGACTGAGATCTGGTGAGTCATTGTCATGTTCAAGAAGCCAGTTTGAGATGGTTGAGCTTTGTGACATGGTGCTTATTATCCTGCTGGAAGTAGAAAACGGTACACTGTGGTCATAAAGTGCTGGACATGGTCAGCAACAATATCCAGGTAGGCTGTCGTGTGTAAACGATGCTCGGTTGGTACTGAGGGGCCCAAAGTGTTCACTGAACAGTTATCGGGACATTAACCGGACGGCGTTTCCATGACTAGATTTATCAGCTATAGGAATATGAATCGACTAACGTTAGGCTATGAAGAAATACAGAAGCCGTTGCCATGGTTACTATTTATTGACCGCCTTCCGCCTTCAAGAGAAGTGTGAAAAGGCCTTAACACACCAGCAGCCTGAAACCGTCGACACGAGGCAGGATGGATCCATGCTTTCATGTTGTTTACGCCACATTCTGACCCGACCACCTGGAGGTCGCAGCTGAAATGGAGACTCATCAGACCAGGCAACGTTTTTCCAATCTTCTGTTGTCCAGTTTTGTAGTTTCCTGTTCTCAGCTGACAGGAGTGGCCCCCGCTGTGGTCTTCTGCTGCTGTAGCCCGTCTGCTTCGAGGTTGGAGTGTTGTGTTCAGAGATGGTATTCTGCATGCCTTGGTTGTAACGAGTGGTTATTTGAGTTACTGTTGCCTTCCTGTCATCTTGAACCAGTCTGACATCAACAAGGCGTTTCCAGCAGCTCACTGGATGTTTCCTCTTTTCGGAGCGTTCTCTGTAAACCCTGGAGATGGTTCTGCGTGAAAATCCCAGTAGTCACTTAAATCCCCTTTCTGATGCTCAGTTTGACCTTCAGCACGTTGTCTTGACCACGTCTACGTGCCTAAATGCATTGAGTTGCTGCCATGTGATTGGCTGATTAGCTATTTGTGTGAACAACATGTGTACCTATTAAAGTGGCCGGTGAATGTTTACATTTTACTTGTGCGTTGGTTTCTGCCTCCACCTTTACAGCACTGGATTGGTCGCTAGTAAAATTGACTTAAAAGCTCTTGCTCTTCAGGATCCGGTGGAGGTTCTGAATTTGAGGAACAAACAGAAACCGACGACCACCTGCCAGCCGTCTTCTAGCAGTGACGAGTTTGACAGCTTTCACTTCTGGAGAGATCCGCTGCCGTCTATTGACAGCGACCTGCTGGAGTTACTGGTGAGTTTAAGAAAGAGTCAGTTTCCGCATGGATCAGGACACAAACACGACTCTGGTGAGATCTTGCTGGTCTGCGTCTGCTGAAGGTGGAAGCGGCAGGTTTACAGCACGTTAATGTCCTGATGCAGCTTTAAACTGTAGAGAAACTGTGGGTCTGGGCCCTGACTGGCTGACAGTAGCAGCGCCTGACTGTTGACCTCTTCTTGTTCGCAGAAAGAGAACGGCGTCTCGCCATCAGAGAGCCGGCTGGACGCAGCACGGCAGACAGAGGAACCAGAGGACCAATCAGACGAGGAGGAGGAGGAGGATGACGATGACGGAGGTGGTTGGATCACTCCCAGTAACATCAAACAGGTGAAGATGGAGTCGGCTGATTGGACGGCTCCTGCTGATGTCATCGTCGGGTGTCTGACCACCGACTTCGCCATGCAGGTAACAAACCTGTCGGTGATGTCACCACTAAAGTTATCCTGTTAACGTTATTTAATTTAAGATGGATATATTTATATTTTTTACCATTAATCATTGAGTCTATAAATGTCATAAAAAGGTGAAATGCTTCCCAGAGTGCCGTCTGTTTGACGGTTATTAGAATACTTGCAGGTATTCTGCCAATCATTTCAGCTCTTTTCTCTGATCTTTCCAGAACGTCCTGATTCAGATCGGACTTCACGTTCTCTCTGTTAACGGGATGGTGATCAAACAGGCGAGGAACTACATCCTGAGGTGTCACGCCTGCTTTAAGTGAGTACATGTGAAATTCAAAGAGAAACTTAAATAATGAAAAGTGAAATATAAACAGAAGAATTGAGATTTTGCTATTGAAGTGAAACTGAGTGAAATAAAATAGACGCTGTTACATGTTGATCAGCATTCAAAGCTGCGTGTTTTAATTCAGGACGACGAGCAACATGAACAAGTGTTCTGTCCTCACTGTGGAAACAAGACGCTGAAGAAGCTGGCGGTGACGCTCAGCGAGGACGGCAGCGTGCAGATGCATTTCTCCAAAAACCCCAAAGTGCTGAACCCGAGAGGGCTGAGGGTGAGACATGCACACACACTCATGTACACTCAGAGTTTACACCCAGGACATGTGTAGTCAGGAGCGCTCTGTGTGGCGTGTTTCGGCCTTATTGACCCCCTCTGTGTGGCGTGTTTCGGCCTTATTGACCCCCTCTGTGTGGTGTTTTTCGGCCTTATTGACCCCTCTGTGTGGCGTTTTTCGGCCTTATTGACCCCTCTGTGTGGTGTTTTTCGGCCTTATTGACCCCTCTGTGTGGTGTTTTTCGGCCTTATTGACCCCTCTGTGTGGTGTTTTCGGCCTTATTGACCCCTCTGTGTGGTGTTTTTCGGCCTTATTGACCCCTCTGTGTGGTGTTTTTCGGCCTTATTGACCCCCTGTGTTTCGGCCTTATTGACCCCGCCCACCCGTGTGGCGTGTTTCGGCCTTATTGACCCCGCCCACCCGTGTGGTGTTTTTCGGCCTTATTGACCCCCTCTGTGTGGCGTGTTTCGGCCTTATTGACCCCCCCCCCCCCCGCCGTGTGGTGTTTTTCGGCCTTATTGACCCCTGTGTTTTGGCCTCATTGAACCCTCTGTGGGGCGTGTTTCAGCCTTATTGACCCCCCCCCCCCCCGTGTGGTGTGTTTCGGCCTTATTGACCCCCCCCCCGGGTGGTTTTTTCGGCCTTATTGACCCCTGTGTTTTCGCCTCTTTCACCCCTCTGTGGGGCGTGTTTCAGCCTTATTGACCCCCCCCCCCGTGTGGCGTGTTTCGGCCTCATTGACCCCTCTGTGGGGCATGTTTCAGCCTTATTGACCCCTGTGTTTCGGCCTTATTGACCCCCTCTGTGTGGCGTGTTTCAGCCTTATTGACCCCCTCTGTGTGGCGTGTTTCAGCCTTATTGACCCCTCTGTGTGGTGTGTTTCAGCCTTATTGACCCCCTCTGTGTGGCGTGTTTCAGCCTTATTGACCCCCTCTGTGTGGCGTGTTTCAGCCTTATTGACCCCTCTGTGTGGTGTGTTTCGGCCTTATTGACCCCCTCTGTGTGGTGTGTTTCGGCCTTATTGACCCCCTCTGTGTGGCGTGTTTCAGCCTTATTGACCCCTCTGTGTGGCGTGTTTCAGCCTTATTGACCCCTCTGTGTGGTGTGTTTCGGCCTTATTGACCCCCTCTGTGGGGCGTGTTTCAGCCTTATTGACCCCTCTGTGTGGTGTGTTTCGGCCTTATTGACCCCCTCTGTGTGGTGTGTTTCGGCCTTATTGACCCCCTCTGTGGGGCGTGTTTCAGCCTTATTGACCCCTCTGTGTGGTGTGTTTCGGCCTTATTGACCCCCTCTGTGTGGCGTGTTCCGGCCTTATTGACCCTTCTGTGTGGTGTGTTTCGGCCTCATTGACCCCTCTGTGGGGCGTGTTTCAGCCTTATTGACCCCTGTGTTTCGGCCTTATTGACCCCTCTGTGTGGCGTGTTTCGGCCTCATTGACCCCTCTGTGGGGCGTGTTTCGGCCTTATTGACCCCTGTGTTTCGGCCTTATTGACCCCTCTGTGTGGCGTGTTTCGGCCTTATTGACCCCCCCCGTGTGATGTTTTTCGGCCTCATTGACCCCTCTGTGTGGCATGTTTCGGCCTCATTGACCCCTCTGTGTGGCGTGTTTCGGCCTCATTGACCCCTCTGTGTGGCGTGTTTTGGCCTCATTGACCCCTCTGTGTGTTTTTCGGCCTTATTGACCCTTCTGTGTGGTGTGTTTCGGCCTCATTGACCCCTCTGTGGGGCGTGTTTCAGCCTTATTGACCCCTGTGTTTCGGCCTTATTGACCCCTCTGTGTGGCGTGTTTCGGCCTCATTGACCCCTCTGTGTGGCGTGTTTCGGCCTCATTGACCCCTCTGTGTGGCGTGTTTCGGCCTCATTGACCCCTCTGTGTGGTGTGTTTCGGCCTCATTGACCCCTCTGTGGGGCGTGTTTCGGCCTTATTGACCCCTGTGTTTCGGCCTTATTGACCCCTCTGTGTGGCGTGTTTCGGCCTTATTGACCCCCCCCCGTGTGATGTTTTTCGGCCTCATTGACCCCTCTGTGTGGCGTGTTTCGGCCTCATTGACCCCTCTGTGTGGTGTGTTTCGGCCTCATTGACCCCTGTGTGTGGTGTGTTTCGGCCTTATTGACCCTCTCTGTGTGGTGTTTTTCAGCCTTATTGACCCTCTCTGTGTGGTGTTTTTCGGCCTTATTGACCCTCTCTGTGTGTGTTTCGGCCTTATTGACCCTCTCTGTGTGGTGTTTTTCAGCCTTATTGACCCTCTCTGTGTGGTGTTTTTCGGCCTTATTGACCCCCTCTGTGTGGTGTTTTTTGGCCTTATTGACCCCCTCTGTGTGGTGTTTTTTGGCCTTATTGACCCCCTCTGTGTGGTGTGTTTCAGCACTCGCTGCCTCTGCCTCAGGGAGGGAAACACGGCAACAACCCCCAGCTGGTGGAGGACCAGCGTGCCCCCCAGCAGAGACTCTCCCGCAAAGCTCGTCAGAAGACCGACGTCTTCAACCCGGACTACGTGGCCGGAGCGTCACCTTTTTGCGAGAATGACATCTACAGTCGAGCGGCCAACCTGCAGATCAGAGACGGCCAGAGTGGGGGTGGAAGGAGACGAGCCAACCCCAACGCCACTCACAAGAAGTTTGTCAAGAAGAAGTGAGAGCTTTTGGATTTGGACACATAAAAACGCATCATCTGAGTTATTTGACATTAAATTTAAAGGACCTTACAGAGTGTAGTCTGCTTTCCAAACTCTAGGTCAAACATGCAGAAACAGTCCTTAAAATACAAAACCAGCATTTTCTCCCTCAAAAGATTTTCAACAGACGAGACTTTGTTAAATCAGCTTTGAATGTTGACGTATCAATATAATGTATCTATATTCTTCCCAAATAAATGTTAAAATCCACTTCAGCTGTTGCAGATTGTCTTTTTATTGAATCACTTTATTTAAATATTACCCCTCTTACATAAACACATTTGATTCTCAGATTATCCTTCAATCTAGATCTTAAAAAAGAAAATAGGAGTTTTTTTGCAGTTGTTTTTCCTCTTCGTGTAACTAGGCTAGCAGTTCCCCCTGCTTGCAGTCTTTGTGCTAAGCTAGGCTAAACACACCTGGAGCTCTTTGGTCTGAACACAGTCAGTCTTTTTAAAGCGCTGTTTCTTTGACTGGAATGTGAACACTTGTTTGGGACTACAACCTGCATCAACGAAGGCACTTGAAAAGGTGAGTGAGAGAAAATATCTTGCTTTACCTCACCTGCGTTAATCACTGTAGTGTAAAATGGAAATAAACAGACTTGAAATCACGATTAAACTGAAATGCTTCCTGTGTAGACGAACACACAGGTGATCTCCTGCTGCTGTGGTTTGATCCATTTCTGTTGATTTTGCCTCAGACAACAGTGACCGTCCTAAACCTTGAATTAAGGGTCGGAGCAGCGAAGGAGAGGAATTTCAATTTATTATTTAAATGTCCACAAAATAAGACGCATCCATCACCAGATCCCAGAGTCACCATCAACTTATTACTCCAAAGAGAAGTCTTCGTCCTGTAGCGACTCTTCGTCTCGTTCCTCAGACTTCAGCTCCGTCAGTTCAGCGCTCGGCTCAGAGTCTATAAGGCCGGACCGGGTTGACGCCGGGTCTGGACGTCCTGCCTCCACGGTGACGTCAGGATCCGATACTGGTTCTTTGAGTTGTGTCTCAAATGTCAGGCTGCCCAGTTCGCTGGCGATGTCGACATCTGGTACTGGCTGTAGCACCTCCCTTGGTGGAAGCACAAACTGCAGAGGCTCGAGGACTGCGGGGAGGTCGATGCAGCCCAAACTGCCGTACCTGTGCAGCTGAGTCGGAGGAACACCTGCAGAACAACAGAACAGGTTCAAGCACGCCTTTATGTTTAACTCTGTGGCCGACCAGTGTTGGGACGTAAAGAACATACAGATGATGATTTCTTCCTACCAGCTGTGGGGCTAAAACTAATTTGATGAATACATTTTCTCTTTTCTCATCCTGTGGTACTACAAAGGTTCTGGGTCACTATACTCATTAGTAGGTCTGAACCATTAATTGCATTTGCGATTATGGTCACATGACACACGGAAGTAAAGCCGTCTGCAGAGGGAGCATCAACTTGGTTATGCTGCACCGTGAGTTGTTGTACAATGTCTGCAGGATTGACAGAAGCTTTAGTGTCAAACAGGGAATAAAATTAGTACCCACCACCCGTGGGTAAAATGCAAAACAGAAAGACACCAGTCAGGTCAGGGGAATATCTGTGAAACGGCGTTTCAAACCTAACTCGCAAGTCTGAAAGAGACCCAGTCTGTCCCGAGTTACAGTTCGCTGCTAACCAGCACCATCGGACGACTACGGGGGGACTCCGGTGTTGTCGGAGAGTTACAGAGCTTGTCTATTAGACGTGAGAAGCGTCACTTGGTTTTCTTCCGTTGGCCAACTTCTGAATTAAACCTCAAACTTGAGGTTTTTTCTTGCTGGGATCCAGAAAAGAGGTTTTTGTTGAGATATGGACTCGTGGAGATTAAAACGAGAAGGACTCATTAATTTGAGGTAGAATTGTGGGTTTTGTAATGAGCACTTACTATAATGTTATAATACTCTGTTGAACTTGTTTATCTTCTGGTCTGTAGTTATTCCTACCTGTTAATATTATATTATTTAATAACGTGACTTGACTCAAATTATCTTGCTCTGAAATTATTATAATTTGATACTACTTCTCCACCATTGCTCATAATTCAACCCATTTTATCATGGCTGACTTATACAGTAATAAAACCGGATCGATCGTGCATCTTTAATTGAAATACCTGGTTGTTAAGTAAAGTGGAGTAATTGTCATGTACTGAAAGACACGGGTCCTTTTTGTTCATGCAATCATGCATGTAATGTTTTTGTGTAAATATATCGAACATTGAATGACAACATTATTACATTAAATGGTGCCTAAATTAGCTGAATTTTATTCCCTTATGTCAATTATTAAAAAATAATTGCATATTGTTTAAAAAAAATATCACAATTAGATGAGTTTCCAAAATCGTTCAGTCCTACTCATTAGGATTTATGCTCTGGATGGAGCAGGAAAATCTACTAATGTCACAGCAAACTGCTGCCGTGTTTCGTAAAACATCTTCAGTTAGAGTTCAGAGAAACTCCTGAAAGTAATGTTTAAGGCTCCTCAGCTTCTGGTCTGATGGAGGTCCAGAAGACCCCTGAGTCTGCAGATCATACGACTTATCAGGTCACGTTTTTGAAAGAATAGAACGATAGACCTGTAATATGTAGTTTTATAAAGACTCAATTAGCTCAATGACAAATTGCACACAGCTCTTCTCTAAAACTACAAGTTCACACTTGTTACGAGATCCAATACTTGGGACAACATGACTCGTTTTTCTAGCTAACGGAGATCCAACAAGTGGAAGACGGTGACAAATGCAGCTGCGTCACAACGCCATCGTGTATGGAAGCCGGGGTGAAGTTAGTTTAATATTTAACATTGGTCGGTTTTCGCAGCCATTTCTTTGTCAAATCCTGGATTTCTCCCAGTTGTGTCAGGCTGCAGCGTATCCCCCCCCCGCCCCCAATAAACATGGAAGTTTTCATTTCTGCCGTATGTGCCGGGTGAGCAATTCTCTGAATATGCGCCATCTTTGGGTTTGGCCTCCGTCTAATAATATACCCACGGAACAGACCGAGGTCTCGGTCTTTAGGTTCTGCTGTCAGCTGTACTGAGCACCAGAGGGGTCCAGAGGATAATCTGGATTTAGATTATTGAGCTAAAAGAAGGAATCTGTACAGACATCTGCTGATCAGAAAGTTCACTATAAATATAAACAGACTGTCTCCCTCTGATTAAAACTGTGTTTTGATGTGATATTAATGTGGGATAAGAGACTGAAGAACTGAAAATATTATCCGAACATGTTGCTTTATGAGACCCTCTAAATCAAACTGGACCTCGGCCTGAGGTTTAAGTTGAGGTCTGGATTCTGTTTGTGTGTGGCTCCAGATCGCTGTAACCATTAGTGTTTTGAGGAAAATAAAGAACAGAGAGAGAAACAACCAGGATCCTCACCCAGAATGAGAGCGATCTGAGCCGGAGGAAACAGGACCTGCAGACAGCGGTTGAGGAACGGCAGCAGGTCGTCAGCGTACGAACAGCAGAACTGAAGGAACAGCTCCTTCTCCCTGCTGCTGAAGGCCGACTCCTCCGCCCGGTGGAACACCAGAATCTGACGGGTCACCTGACAGGAAACAAGAGAGGCGACACTCAACACACCGGTACAGATATGCCTGGTCACCTGACAGGAACTTGTTTACTTCCTATCTCACCATCTTGAGGCCGTCTTCGAGACACGTGGTGACGTCACGAGCCAGTCCGACGGGGCAGCAGAGTCTGAGGTCGTTGAAGGCGGTCAGGATGTTGTTGAGGAACCAGGCCAGCGGCTGGAAGTCCAGCAGCATCATCGGGGGCTGCAGGGTGCCGGGCTGGGTGCCGGGGGCCACGGGGGGGATGGTCGCTCCCAGCACCGAGGGCAGGGAGGTGAGCATGTACAGGTTCATGTCCTCCTGGAACTTCTCCACCGCCTCCTGCACGGCTTTGCGGAACGTCTCCGCCGCCACGCGCTGGAACATGGGCGCCAGCTGCCCGCGGAAGTCCGCCCCAACCCTGCTGAAGGACAGGCCAAAGTACATGCACTGACCCAGCAGGGAGTCCAGACGGCCCCCCACGCCCCGCTGCAGGTCCCTGTCTAAAGTCTCCAGGAACTCAGACACCTTATGCACCACCCAGCCGTGGAAAATGGCGCCCTCGTTCACTGCGATCTGTCCGCTGGCGGGGAGCACCAGCGGGTCCTCGTCAGAGAAGATGGCTCTGTACTGGGTGATGATGTCGAAGAGGTGGACTCTGCAGGCCTCGATGGTTTTGGTAATGTGGAAGTAGGGGTCGTCTTCAGGGATGGCGGCGAGGATGGAGTGCAGCCAGGTGCCGCGCGCCTGCAGGAACTTTACCCGCAGCTCCGCCTCCGTGAACACGTCCATCCTCCGCAGGTAGCCAATCACGCGCAGGCAGACAGGAAGCTGCGAGTTGCTGCGCAGTTGCTGCAGCAGCTGGTTGAGCATCAGCTGAGTCGACTGACGCACTTCACGCACGATACTCTGAGGATACAAGACGTCTCAGATCAGCTGTGATTGGTCGATTAATCAGTGCGTCAACATAAAATTTATCTGCAACTGTTGATAATCGATTGATAATTTTATTTTTCAAGTTAAAACCGTAAAAAACATTCTCTGGTGGAAGCTTTTCCAACGTCTGAGTAAACTGAATCTTTGGGTTTTGGACTGTTGGTTGAACAAAACTAAATGTCTGACGACGTCAAGCAGCAACAAGAGCTTCGGATCTTTTTTTTTTCCTTCTACGGCTGCAACTGATAATTATTTTCATCATTTTATTTATATAATTCTTTATGTCTATTAATTACTGAGTTCATAAAATGCTCAGGGTGACGTCTTCAAAATTCCAAAACTCAAAGATGTTCAGTTTCCATGCAGATGACACTCTCTTAATTTTCTGTCACCTCTAAGTTTTCATCTTTATAACAACACTTTCTCAGGTGGACCTGGACTCACCTGGATGACTAGGAGCGAGGAGTGCTTCCTCTCCAGCCTCTTGACGTACGCCGCCAGCTCCAGAGCCTCCTCGTAGTAGCCATTGCGGACGCAGGTGTCCATGAGCTGAGGGATCTCCAGGATCTCCAGGATCTCGGTGTGACGGTTCAGCGTGAGGCTGTTCATCCGGCGACTGACCCCGATCTCCTCCGCCTCCTTCATGAACCCCCTGAACACAAACACCTATAGTTTCACACTCAAAGCACATTCGACTT